ATGATACAAACACCAATGTAAGCTATCAAAAAAGTTTAATTTTGTAAATTTTACTTCAAGTTTATATTGAAGGATCAATTGATTTTACTTTCAATAAATAGTACAAATAACCACATATTTTAATTTTAAAAGTAAGATATTATATAAATATTGTACTTAACTTGCACAGTTTTTTTTTGTGAAGCGGTTTTTTTTTCGTTTCACATAAAGATAAACAAACAATTATTCAGACATACGTTATTTATTCTCGATATTTTTTCCCAAATGGATCAAGGATAGGTTGTTTTGACCATGTCCTGGTTTGATAAACAGGTCCTTGATAAAGCACCTAGAATGATATCCACTCGGTTATTTTTACAAATACAGTAAGTCAGTAATCCTCACCATCTCCGAAGCCCAACCCCTTGACACTGTGAAGATGATAAGAGTATGGAACGCCGTCACTGCCTTATAGCAGAACACTGCTATTGCATTTTAACCCTTTCCATTACATTATGTCAACTCTTTATGAATTCCCACACTACTATTATTATTGAACCTTCCATTATATTATGTCAATCTTTATGACATTAACCCACAATACTACTGCATTATGTCAACCTTCCATTATATTATGTAACTCTTTATGACTTAACCCCACCTCTATTGCATTATGTAACCTTCCATTATTTATGTCAACTTTTTATGACATTAACCCACACTACTATTGGATTGTGTCAACCTTCCATTACATTATGCCAACTCTTTATGACATTAACCCCATTACTTTTCATTGTGTAAACCCTTCCTTTACATTATCCCAAAACCTTTATGACATTAACCCACACTACTATTGCATTGTGTTAACTTTACTTTACATTATGTAACTCTGTTTGACATTTACACATACTACAATTATATTTCGTCAACTTGCATTTGTTATTTTTTTTTCATGAGATCTTAGTTTTTATTAACTGATGTGAAAACTCATGCCATACTGTCCACTCTTCCTTTAGTGACACAAAGTTATGCAACAGGGTATCCTCGGCTTTTTGGAAAACGTTTTTTCCGCGTTCCGCAAGCACTAAAAATGGCAAGAAATGTCGTAAAGAATTTCACATTTGGGGAATGACTTTTTAAATGAAAACTTTACAGGGGCGTAGCAACCGGGGGGGGGGGGGGTGGGGGGGGGGGGGCCTCCCCCCATTTTTTTTCCCAACCATACTTATACTATAGGAAATGTTAATTGAAAGCCGGGTTTCCCCCCCCCCCCTTGTGATGCCCAAAATGTAGTTTAAAATTGGTACTAAATGTAGTTGACACTAGAAAAAGTTTCCCCCCCCCCCCCCGCTACGAAATAGGATTATCGACTTTGGGAAACTTTTCCCTTTTTTCCCTTTTTTTTTTTTTTTTTTTTGCTTGTCAACTTTTTTAGGTAAGTAAAAAATTTTTTTCTCTGGCTGGCCCCCCCACTTTCAAAAACGATGCTGACTTTTTAAGCGACAAATGATTGACAATTTGAAACGTGCAAAGCCTTCCTGCGACTGTGAATTAAAGTCACGTCGAAATTCAATGGTGTTTACTTTAATCTCAAAATTTAAAATAAATCAAATATTATGAATCGTGCAGCAATATTTTTTTTTTTTTATTTTGTTTTTTTTTTAAATAAAAGTCTTAAACTTTGAAGGACATTGCATTAGTTTCACAATAAGCTTAGCTGAATTAAGTTGAAAACTTTTTTTAAAACTATAAAGCCTGAGAGCTTCTCCGCTTTCCGCCCTTGGTCTCCAATCATATACCGCCCCCCTTCCTTGTTAAAATTCCCATATCTGCCACTGATATGTGCACATGCTTCTTTCTAAGGCATATTCAATTGATTTAGATGAGGGACTGGGAGATTTTTTTAATAGAATTCTGGCCCTGGAATGATTAAAAAAAATTAACTCCAGTGACGTAGCATCTTTTTTTTAAAAAGGAGGTCGCCAGAAAAAAAAATTTACCCGTAAAAAACTTGACAAGCCAAGAAAAAAAAGTCCAAGCCCGAAAATCCTATTTCGGGGGGGGGGTCCAACTTCGATCAGTCCTACTTTTTCCCCAGATATATTACATTACCCTTAGTGGATTATACTTCAACAAAGAGTGGGGTGGGGGGCTGTACAGTTTCAATGAACATTACATTTTCTATAGTAAAGGTATGTCTGGGAAAAGAGGGGGGTTGATATTATGTGCCTGTAATTTGTCCTAATCAATCAGGACCCCCCCCCCTTTCCAGTCATTAAGCACGGGGTCAACATTCATTATATACTAGACATACAGCTTTGAGATAATGTAAATGTTTTTTAACATCAAGTAATAACTTTTTGGGAAACAACATGATAAAGAGTTAACACAATATAAAGATATTTTTAAATCACATAAGAAAGAGTTGACATAATGTAATTATATATCCACATCACGGAATGGCGTTAAAAATTAATAAAGTATTGATGTAATATAAAGATATGTTCACATTATGTTATACACTTTTTACACCCCTAATAAAGCACTGACATAAAGGTAGATGTGTTCACCTCACATCATGATGCCCTGCCAAAATAAAGATAACTCCATATCACGTAATAATGCTTTGATATAATAGACATATACACTCTCAAAAAGGAATGGGCTTTTGACTTCATGTAATGATAAGTTTAATTATAAAACACAATTTACTTGACGTAATGCAATTTTTACCTCACATATTAAAAAAATGAAATGATGTAAAAAAAAATTCATATCATGCAATAAAGTTTTAACACAATGTAAACACATTATCACTTCACATAATGAAATTTTTACTTCAAGTTATGAAGTGCTGACATAATGAAAGGATGTATTTACTTCATGTAATGCAGCATTGACATGATATTAAATATATTTACATCATCTCATAAAAAATGGATATAACGTAAAGATATGTTCACATCACGTAATGATAAATTGACATAAAAAATGCATAGTTGTATGCTATAAGGCAGTGATGGCGTTCCATATAAGAGCAAGAGACTTATTTTACAAGATGACAACTGAGTCCGACACCAGAGATGGGTATTTACAGTATTTAGTTTCTTGTGTGCTGCTGACTTTTGTCTGTTTTTCTCCTATGTATTGGGCCTAGACACGGCTAACGAGTACGGACGCGACCGATTCTGGGAATAAAATTCCCTAATAGAAGCCTTTTCAATATCAGTGATGATTCAATCTGTGAAACTAATACCTCGTCACAAAGGTACCAGGAAAGGAAAACTGTTCAGAAGTTAGTGTTAGAATGGGATGTGTACATATCAATAGCCCAGGGAGTCCCGCTTATTCTGTCCAATATGTTGTTTTCACCACTGAGCGATTCCATTGGAAGAAGGCCATTTCTTTTCGCTGGATCGCTTGGTATTTGTGTTAAGCAACTTCGAATGACCCTTGCTATCTTTTTTCACTGGGATATTTATCTTTTTATTCCATTTGCATTGGTAGAAGGTTTCAGTGGAAGCTGGTTTGCTCAGCTTGCCATTGCTATGACGGTTGTTTCTGACCTAACCAAAGCAGGAAAGTCCAGATCCTATTTAATCACTGTGTTCAGTTTTACATTGTATGTACAGTGTTGGATTTTCTTTGGGAACATTTAGTTCTGCCTATGTGGTTGCGAATTGGGGATACGAACACTCTATGGCAATCTCCTGTGGATTGTCGGCCTTTGCATTCATCATCACGTGCTTTATTCCTGAAACATTGCTCAAATCGCAAAGAAAGAAAAAAACTTCGGTTGCCTTGGAAACTTTAAAGAGATTTTGAAACTATATTTCAAAGAGGACCAGAATTATCCAGAGTTGACAAGGCGGAAATATCTTACTGCTATCTCTTCTTTTATATTCATAATGTTGGAAAAACACGGTGCATTTGCTGTAGAATCATTATATGTAGGGATTCTCCATTTTTCTTCAACCCCAAAACAGTCAGTTTATTTTAAACATCGAAAACCATCTTTTCCGAGGCTGGGATTTTAATTGTTATAAAACTGTTGCATAGATGTATCTCAGATGAGAGTATTGCATTCATTGGGGCTATTTCAGACACGTGCTGTTTTGTTTTATATGGAATAGCTTCTTCAAAAAAGGACCTGTATACACGTTAGTAATACGAGAGCAAAAACTTATTCATGTATATTACAAAAATAAAGGATCTTCCATGATTTGTAGTTGAATATAATGAACAAGTTGTGTGTCTTTATCCCCGAGCCTTGGCGAGCCTCCCAAGATCATGGGAGATTCTTTTTATCCCATGTTAAATACTTCACAGCCAGGCCAGAAAAGCTGAAACTTATGTGGAAGCATCCTGGGGTAGTGTAGATTCTAAATTGTTAAAATCATGACCCCCGGGGGTAGGGCGGGGTCACAATGGGGAAACAAAGTTTTACATAGAAATATATAGATAAAATCTTTAAAAATCTTCTTCTCAAGGACAACTGGGCCAGAAAAGCTGAAACTTATGTGGAAGCATTCTTGGGTAGTGAAGATCATGATCCCCGAGGGTAGGGCGGGGCCACATAGGGGAATCAAATTTTTACAGAGAAATATATGGGAAAAATCTTTGAAAATCTTTTTCACAAAAACCATTTGGCCGGAAAAGCTGAAACTGGAAGCATCCTGGGGAAGTATAAATTCTAAATTGTCCAAAACATGACCCCCGGGGGGAAAGGGAAAGGGGGCCCCAATGGGGATCAAAGATTTTCATAGAAATGTATAGGAAAAATCTTTGAAAATCTCTTTCCCGAAGAACCACTAGGCCAGGAAAGCTGAATATTATGTGGAAGCAGTCTGGGGTAGTGTAGATTCTAAATTTTCAAAATCATGACCCCGTGGGTTGGGCGGGGCCACAATGGGGAATCAAAGTTTTACAATGGGGAATCAAAGCATCCTATGGTGGTGCAATTTCAAAAAATCTAAATTATGATCAGTGGGGTAGGGTGGGGTCACAAAATGTATTACAAGGGGGAAATCTGGTAAAGAACGGAATGTTCAAATCTTCTCAGGTGAGCGATGTGGCTCATGGGCCCCTTGTTATATTTTGTTTTGTTTTGTGTTTGTTTGTTTTTTTGATTTAGATTTAAAACAGACATTTCGTTTCAGAATTTATGGTGCTTGCGAAGGACGAATGTTGTCCCATCTTTGACACTGTTTAGATCTGAATATACGCATTCTGTTCACTTGACATTTTTTGCATAACTCATTGAATAATTTTGTAAACTTAAGATTCTATGCTGGTGCTAGGTGTGTTTGTTTCTACATGCATTACATCATGTGTTTATATTTATTGGTATTGTCAATTACACTTTGTGTAGACATATTTAATTCGATTTGTCACTTATTTATTAATAAATGTCCATTCAAATTTTAACCCTGTGTTTTCATTTGTGTCAAATAGAGCACCACCAAATAAGGTATCCCTAAAAAATTATCTTTGTTTTAATTATAAATTAATTAAAAATAATCTATATAAATTAAATGCCGATAGCGTCATTGTTTTTCAATGTCTACTTCTTCTACCTCATACACTTATTTTTATGAGGTACCCTGGAGCTGAGTAAGGACTTTAATCCTTCTTGTTTAGATGACTTAACAATGCCATGAACAGTGGCTTTCAATGCATATACTTTTGCAAATGAATTTATACTATGGCAGAGATCCTCGCTTGATTGTGCCGTTATATTTTGCTTTTTTGGAGTTCAATATCTACAACACACGATCAACGTATTTTTTGACCTGATTGATTTTTCACACCTTGACCACAAATCGACATAAACCGTGCATTCCCTTTCTTTCTGAATCTATTTTGGCATTAAAAACAAGTAATCTGGATGCATATTATTTCTCCTTAGTCAGTTTTAAAAATTTCCTAGGTGTATACCAGTTTTTCCAGTGGCAAACTTTATAGAGTTTAAAGGAAACCCCTCCCCCTTTTGACGTCATATACAAGGCAACATTTGTGTGAAAATGTAAAATTTACGATAAGATTTCATAAATCTTCCAGAATGAGGTAAAAATTTAATATTGTATGGAAAAATAGTGGCCCAACACATCCCTGAATTAACGGGATTTTTGGAAGTCAAATGTTCATATAACAAAGGTTTTTCTTAGTTATACTTACGTAGAAAAAAACGTCATTTTCGAGGTTGCGCCGCATGGACATACAATTGCTTACAAAAACATTACTATTTTATTCAAAAATAAAATTTATGATTTGTGATTTATTCTATAGATAGAAAAGATGATGATAACTTGATATTTTAGAATTCATTCATGTACCTAAAGCGGGTTTAATTTTATGGCGCCAGTCACGAATTTTTTGATAGCCCCTCGTATATCCTATGATCACTGAAATTAATTTAAAACACTTCATATGCTAAAACATGAAACATTAGAGAAATCTTTATCGATATAAATATTTGAATTGGAATGATCTTTATGGATTATCAATAATTGACATTCCTTTTTAGCATTTTTTAAAATTTATATAAAAAATAAAGGAAAATAGACGATCAAGTGTTGAGTGTTTATTGAAATAATGAAGACGTAGGGACCTGCTAGTGGAGATCATTCTATACGGACGCCATAGCTAACAAAAATTGAGCTTCATGCCAGTTAGAATAAAAGGACTGATAGAACGTTTGTTTTGAATTCTTTTAAAGGAAGCCTTTTTGCTTTTATGATCATTTTAGGTAGGTTTGCATCAATTATAAAAAAAAAAAATTTATTATATGATTTTATGAAAAAAAAATCCTTAATATACTACATTATAAAACCATTCCCATATGATATTTTTTGCACTTTTGCACCCAGAATCGGTTTTCTTTTATCGTTGAATTTTAATTTTTTGTCAGCAGGGGATCTCACTCCTCCATGGCACCTGATCCCACCTCTGATGTTTTGGAGGTCCGTGTTTGCTCTGCTCCTATTTTGTATTGTTTTATGGACTTTGATATTGAATACTGTTCGTTATCTCCATATCCTTCTTCATGTTTATCTGAAAAGTTTATAGGAGTCAAGTCTACAAAGTTCTCAATTACATAATTATGTTTTCTAGTGCAGCACTGCACATTGTTTAAATGTCTTGTTATAACACTTTATCGCAATTATTCAAAACAACCTTAAAAGTATTGCCGATGTTCTTTTGAATAATAATTCTGATGATTTTTCAAATGATAAAAGCCATAAGAAATAGGCATCAGTTATGATAATTGCATCACGTATAAAGCTAATATATACATTTGTTTCTGTATTTTAGGTTATGCTAGTATCTTGTTAATTGAGGAATTTGATTTCAACATACAACATTCAATACCACCCAGCTCCCCAGCTCACATGCATTGTACATGCTACCCATTTGGGGAAAAGAAACTACAACACAATATAAAGGTGTATTTTATTTTATTAATCTAATAATATTTATCAATTTAATACGTTCAGCAACCTTTGAAATATTTTGAACCTTAAAAATCATCTAAGCACGTAAATGAAATTTTAAAAAAAAATGTGCCAAAAGTGATTTTTAAATCAGATTAAAATCTAAATAAGTTCAATCTTGATCTTATTGTTCGATATGGATTGTACAATGAAACACCAAAATTAATGCATTCTAAAAGCCTTTTGTAATAGTATCTTCCAGCAAACGTTGTTTTGATACAAGGTAGAATGCTGTCACTGGTTGTGGTTGATCTGAAATATTGCAGAATTATTATTGTATTTCTATTTCTCTCATCAATGTATAAGAAAAATAACACTAACCCCATTCTCAATATAAGGGCACAAATGCCTCTCTGATTTTTTAAAAAATGAAGTTCAAGAAAAAAAATTTTATCAATTACCTTTGAGAGAAAGTATTTTGAAGATTTTGTTTCCAGATTTTTTTTATCAAATTATAATACATGGAATAATGACAAGACGATAAAGTAGAGGGTGTTTTTATTCAGAAATGTAGCTTGAAATGTCGTTACTCTTTCTTCAATGTCCAAAAAGATATGTCAAAAAAAATGTAGTCATTAAAATCACAATTGGAATATCTCATCTTAACACCAGCACATCCTACCAACTCTGTCAGCAACATTTTTTCTCGGCATACGAACGTGCGTTTGATTTTTCCTTTCAAAAAACAAAGGTTACTTTTTGATCCAGATGTATAAAAACATTTTTTAAATATATGCTTTAAATTTTTCTCTCTGTTTTGTTTAGACCCATCAGTTTGGAATCTTGTCATTTTCTATAGATACTGGAACCTAACATGTACATGTAGTAAAATTCTATTTTGTAGTTACTGTCTTTTTTAACATATATCCATGCCGATTTAGAAAACTACGTAAATGTAACGTACATTTCAAGATATTTTTCTGTTTGATTAAAAACTTAAAATTCATCTAAAAATCCATCGTTTTGTTTCAGTTTATTCCAAAAAAGATTCTCTATGTAATCACATTGTGTTGTATGTCACAATCACCACTTTAAAGACACGATTGCCTCAGTATATGAGTAGGTAACGTACATTTCATGCTTGTAATAATATGTAAATTAGTAATAAGAAAATATTGAAAAAAAGCAATTATTGACATAAAAATCATTTCAATGAAGCGTTTTAA